CAAATTTAATTAGCTGACCGTTGTTACGTTTTCTTATTTCATTTTCTGTCTGTTAGTCTGAATAACTTCACTGATTATATCTATTATTATTATTATCTCTTTTCTTTTGGCGATGATACTGGAGGACTAACTGGTGAAAGGATCAACTCCATCCACAGAAGTAACAGTCTTGACACACCTCATACTACAAACCACATATAATTAATCCCTGCACTACTCCTTTTGCAGTCAATCAAAGCTACGACAGTCGAGTGGCGGGACGAGCTACGCAGACGTTTACCGAAGATCAGGAACCTTTACCTCACAATCAAAAGGCAAGCACAAAGAAATCACATTGGTTTATAGTAGCTCGTAAAAATAATATTGGAAAGACTTGACATTCTGAATGTCTTCTCCATGTAATACCATAGTCAGAGAGATCTCATTGCATTGTCTGGAATTCCAAATAATGACTACACACCTGGCCTATCTTCTTTATCTCTTCTCAACAGGTCGGAATAGCTCATAGAACTTAGCGGAAGAGTTCAGAAAGCAAGGGGGAACTATATCAACGTGGAGTACTAGTTCTCACACCGAGTCATAAACTCCTGGATCCGACTCCTAGAAGAAGTGGTGTCAGTGCCCTCAACCGACTCACTCAAGAAGGGTTTGGACAAGCACAGAAGCTTACAAGAAAAGCGTTAACATCGGCTTCAAGCCTCCTATCCTTCTTCAATAAGTCTCACAACCGTGAATTTTACACGCTCTTGTTTAGTTTTGGCTTTTGTTGTGTTATACGCTCCAAAAGTCTACAGATTAACTTTAAATCAGTTTATTCTGATCAAAGTTAGTTTACTTTTCAGATCTGAGTCTATTTAAATATAGGAAATTGTTTTTTTATAACATAATAGTTATATATATTTTTGTGCACTCATTGATTTTTATCGCTGACTTATAAAGGTCTATATACATCTAAGTTATATTTAAATTTCTTCGCCAGTCTGTTCTAGACAGTATGCCCATCAAAAAAACCGCTGTGGAAGGGTTATGTGCCAATTCCCAGTGGATGAGGGAATGCAGTGTGATAACTGCAAGAGATGGTTTCACAGTATGTGCACAAACCTAACTCCTGCAGCATACAAACGCTGCTGTAAACCTCTGGAAAACTGGTTGTGCAATGACTGTTGTAGTGCTACCAAACTCCGTATTACAGAAGCCGTTGCCACTCTTAGCGGGGCTTTAAAGCTCATGGACTGCAAGGGTCTTCCATCACAGGAGAAGACTAACTGCTTCTCAGACACCGAAGATGCGACTGGCGTCATCGACAGAACAGTACATGTTCCTAATGAGTCTTTGTCAATGACTGAGTGCCCTTCAGCACAGAAGAGCACTCACCACATTCCAGACACCCGGGCGGCCCCCACGATACTGGATAAGCCCTCCAGTGACAGTAACGGAAAGACTGCCACAAAGAAGAGGCGTACCATGGGTCGTAAACCCGCAACTCAAGTCACCCAGGTACTAGTGGATCAAGCCTCGTCCACACCGGTGAGTAGCAGGCAGATAAATCCTGCTACGACTAGTGAAGAGAACGCCAATGAATGGCGTAACGTAGTCTCTCGCAAAGAGCGAGATAAGGACAATACATCGGCCACACTGTCCACGAAGGACAGGAAGACATTCACGCCGCAGAGCAAGAAAACCACGGCAAGCAAACCTGATCTCTCTGACAGGTCGCTCATTCTCCACAAAGTGGAAGAGTCATTGGCCCCCGAACCCAAGACTAGATTTGAGCATGATCTTAACTTGGTTAAGCCCCTTTTAGACAAGCTACTGCCACAAACAGTATCAGGCATCACTATACACAGTGTATATAGAATAGGCCAAAAGCCTGACCCTACAGTAAGTCAGCCTGTACGTCTCCTCAAAGTCGTACTAAACTCTAAAGAAGAGAGGGATGCTATTCTAAGCAACTCTCATATACTTAAAGGATCAGGCATATATGTCCGCGCCGACTTAAGCCTGGCAGACCGTATCAAAAGACAGTCTGCGGCCCTAGAATTAAGCGAACGACGCCGAAACGGCGAAAAGAACCTTAAGATTAAAGGTTTTCGGGTTGTTCAAGTTCGCAGTTTAATGATCCCGAAACCTCTGTGGGTAGGCCGGGGAAGCACCAAACTGGATTAACAGTTTGCTACACAAACGCCCGCAGCCTGTTAAATAAACGGACTGAGCTGGTTAACATGATAGACTCCGGAAACCCGGATGTAATTATTATCACAGAGACATGGCTCACAGCCGATGTCACTGACAGCGAAGTTAACCTGCCAAACTTCGAAGTGCATAGGGTAGACCGACTAAACCGCAAAGGAGGTGGCGTAGTTATTTACCTCAAGAAATGCTTAACCGTGCGTAGTATTGAAGCACTCGCTCACGAAAGTGAGTCGTGCGAACTTCTACACTGCAGACTTAAATGCATAGGCCAAGACATTGACCTCATTGCTATGTACCGCAGTCCTAACTGCAGTGCAGATGACTTCCTGATAGAGAAGCTAGGCTCCTGGACCTCGAAATGTCGAAGTCTCGTAGTTGGCGACTTCAATGCCCCAACAGTTGACTGGACGAGCCTAACAACTCCATCCTCAGTCAACTCCTTTGATTATAAACTGCTGGAATCTAGTATATCGTTAGCTCTAGTCCAACATATCATCAAGCCCACGCGCTATGACTCACAGCACTCCTCCTCAACTTTGAACTTAGTGTTTTCCCACGGTGAGGATGTGGATCTCATACAACACCTTCCTCTTTTAGGACGAAGTGATCCTGCTGTGCTCACTTTCAAGTTCACAGCAACAGCAAGGGCCAAAACCCCATCTCGATCAAACGTTTGGAAAGCTGATATAAATACGATCGTCTCAGCAGCCAACTCAGTAAACTGGTACATCAACCCAGAGTCCCAAGTAGAAGCCGCATGGAACCAATTTAAACAACTTTACGCCCAAGTAACTGAACCTTTCATCCCTTGGTCTGTCCCAAAGGGTCGGAAACACTACTCCCCTTGAATAAATCAAGTGATTCGTAAGTTACTCAGACGTGAATACAAATGTTGGGACCTGTTTGGCACACTTGAGACCCCTGAGACCAGGAAATTATATAACACTGCTAGGAATTAAGCTATTGCAGAAATCCGCAAATCAAGGATGAAATTCGAAGCACACCTGGCTCAAAACGCAAAGGCACAACCTAAGAAAATTTTCTCGTGCATGGACTTCAGGAATAAAACATACAATGGTGTCCCAAACCTGACTATTGACAATGATACAATCGAAGAAGATCAAGAAAAAGCAGAAGCAATGGCAAACTACTTCTCCCAAGTCTTCACTCAGGAGTCGTCACTGCCTATAGGATCAGCTCTGGCTGCATCAGAAGAACATGGGATAGATTCCGTTGACATCGACCAAGGCATCGTGCTCAACTGCCTGAGGAAACTAGACGCAGGGAAATCAATGGGTCCTGATAATCTTCACCCAAGGCTTCTCAAGGAGTTATCAGCACACATAGCCGGCCCTTTGACTACGATCTTCAAGCTTTCTCTCCAAAATGGAGTGTTACCACGTGACTGGAAAAACGCCATAGTAACCCTCATCCACAAAGGAGGATCAAGGCAAAGCCCTTCAAATTACAGGCCTATCAGTCTCACCAGCACTTTCATTAAGACACTGGAGAGAATCATCAAGAAAAGCATAATGGCATATCTAGAAAATAGAAGCTTATTATCAAGAGCACAGCATGGCTTCCGAAGGAACCTTTCATGCCTGTCAAATCTTCTCACTGCAAGAGAAAGCTGGGTTAAATCCAGGGACAACAGAAGACCCGTTGAGGTCGTCTTCATAGACTTCAGCAAAGCCTTTGATAAAGTACCTCACAAAAGACTACTCATGAAGTTGGAAAGTCTTGGTATCAAAGGCAGCTTACTAAACTGGCTCAGGGAATTCCTCATAGATAGGAGGCAGAGGGTTAGGATCAACTCGAAACTCTCCTCTTGGACAGCAGTACGCAGCGGAGTGCCACAAGGCACGGTACTTGGACCTCTCCTATTTATTTTGTATATCAATGAGTTATCTCTGCTCACCGATTCCCCTATGGTCCTATACGCAGATGACTTAAAAATTTGGAAAGAGCTGAAGGGCAACAGTGACACGTCCACGTTGCAAGAGGACCTCAACAAATTGTCAGAGTGGTCCATAGAATGGATGCTCCCGATAAACGTGACAAAATGTGCAACCATGCGCACTGGACAAGCAAGCACGAGCTCTTATGAACTGGAGGGAATTACACTTCCATCAGTTCAGACTTACTTGGACTTAGGTGTCATAGTTAGCCACGACTTAAAAACTGCAGCACACTGTCGCGCAGTGGCTGCACGTAGTTTCAGGTCATTATGGGCAATTCGTAGAGCCTTCACTAGAATCACCAGAGATATGTTCACCTCCTTATATGCATCTCTGGTGAGGTCAAGACTGGAAAACTGCATCCAGGCCGCCAGCCTTTGTCTAAAAGGGGACTCACTTATTCTAGAAAGGGTTCAAAGGAAAGCAACACGTATGATTCATGGCATGACTAACTTATCATACGAGGAAAGACTAGACAGTTTAAATCTCTTCTCCTTGTCATACCGTAGGCAGAGAGGAGATTTAATCACAATGTTTAAAATTTTAAATAATGACTGCGGACCTGACCTATTTTCTCTTTTCCTTCTCACCAGGTCGGAACACCTTAGAGGACATAGCAGGAGAGTTCAAAAGCCAAGAAGAAATCATATTGCTGTTGAGTACTGGTTGTCACACCGAGTCATAAACTCTTGGAACCGACTCCCAGAAGAAGTGGTGTCTGCGACCTCAGTTGATTCGTTCAAGAAGGGTTTGGACAACCACAGAATTTTACTAGAAAAGGATTAACATAGGCTCCAAGGCTTCTATCCTCAACCAATAAATCTGAAATCTGAATCTGAAAAAATTTGCAGTGGAGTTTGCACACTTTCAAAGTGGTCGCTACAGTTGGTTTGTGACATTTATGTAAAGATATCATAGACTTTGAACTTTAAGAGATTTCAATAAACGCCACTATTGTCTGATCATTATTAAATTGGTGTAAATTTTTTTTTCGTAAGTAGTTGAACAAGATGATATCATACATTTAGATGTGAATGTAACGTAAGTATAAGTTTCCACGAAACACAAATAAAAGACTTGTTGGGGGGGGGGGTGACATAGGGGTTAGAGAAAACTGCTACACTTCCTACAAGTTTTTGCACTGATTTTGCCACCCCACCCGGAAGGCTTTCATTTTTTTTTTGGATTTACAGCTTGATTTCCACACCGTATTTTCAGTACAAGTGTGGAACTTTCAGCATGGATATCGGTTGCCCAAATTCAGGCATACCATAGATATCGGGTGTGCGCCGGCAGGGGTTCGAACCCCGGACCATGTGCATGGTCGGCGAGAGTCCTAACCACTGTGCCACGGAAACAAGAGTGACTGCGTTTTATTTTATGAGAGAATAATATGGTCTGATTTGTTTGGAGTGTGTCAGCTATAGTTCTATGTCTGTAATATGTGTTAGAATTATTATTTTCGACCTGAAGTTGATTTAATTAGTGAATTCATGCACTGCATATGTTCACTAGTTTAGCTAAACTAGGTTGCTGGTAATATATGATTCGAATCAGAGTCAAATATCGAAGGATATTAGGGCCTTAATGCGTGTTAGCCCTTGCAATATATGCATTTTCAGGAATGTAACTGCAATTCAAAAGCGTCCACCGATGGAGCTGGTATCATTTGATTGTGGGTAATGAATTCCATTTTCTGACCACTCAACCGCGGTTGTAGCACCTTTTTGTGATGACCCCGCGAAGGCATCCTAGAGGAGAGAAAGAAGTTGAAAAAGTCAGCATTAAAATCACCCTTTAATATACGATGTATGCCAGAATTAAGCCATATCTTCTTGGGTATGATTATTTCAGGCTTATTCATTGGCGATTGAAGGCTTGAAACCTGTGTTAGTCCTTTTATAATATAAGTATGTGTGCTTGTCTAATCCCTTCTTGAGGACATGAACAACACTTCTTGTGGGAGTCTGTCCTAACAGTTGATGAATTGGTGGGAGAACCAGTATTCCACGAAGACAACATAGTTCTTTTCGCGGCTCTTGAACTTCTGTCATTTCCAATGAGATGTTCCAATGACCAGGTGGGAAACAGAAGAGTTATTTCTTAGAATTTTTAACATTGTAATGAAATCTCCTCCCTGCCTATGCGGTACGTGAAAAAGAAGAGATTTCAATTGTTAAGTCTTTCCTTGTGTGATAAATTGTTCATACCAAGAATTTTTATGCATTGACTTTCTTTCAACCGTTTATAGTGTATGAGTTCCACTTAAGACATAGGTGAAGTTTTCCAGTTTTTACCTCATCAGAATGGATGTATATTTCCCAGCCTCTTCTCATAAGGAAGAGGAGAGACTACTGACTAATTTAGTTCCCACTCTTCACTCATTTCAAGAATTAACTCCTTCTAGAGGAAGCATTGACTAGCCGCTCGCATACAGTATTAAAGGTCTGGCTACAGATGTTGACGTTCTATCTCCCGTATCAAGTGGTATAATGTGTCAATTAATATTAAGGTTCGACGTCGAGTGTTAGGTAGGAAAGAGAGGTTGTGGAACTGCACCGGTTGATTTGGCTAGAACATGTATTTAGAATAATCAGGGTTTTCTACTCCTCCCCCCAGGCGTCAGGTGTTCACATTCGTTCTTTCGCTTTTGTGGGGAACATACTCGCCATGTAAAGGCTACGGGCGCGTGGCGACATGACATTTTGAGGAGAAGATTAAAGTCTACCCACCCTCAGCTGTATCAGGTCATCTATGGGGGCGGTTTTTGTGTTCTTAATATTACTTACAATGGAAATTACTAATTATATTCTAAATTTATTAATTTCCAGTTTCCTATAGATGTTATTAACAAGTGTACGTTGTGGACGTTTTATCCCATGGAAAAAAGTACCTGGTAGTTTATGGAGTGGTAAAGAACGCAAAATTCCGCGTTTAACTAATGCACGTAAAGAAGCCTTTTTAAATGAACTTTTAATATCACAACAAAATCATAAATATTTGGAAAAACCATATTTCAGCGAAGAGGTAGAAGCTGCTACATTAGCTGAAGAGCGGGTAATCTACTATTTTTTTAAGCAATATTTCTTTTGTACGTTTATTGATTTCGAAAATGTGTAGTGATTATTATTAATCCCTTTGGTTCCTAGTGGCTTTAGCCAGAACATATCTCCATTTCGTCGTGTTCTCTTCAGTCTTTTTTCTTGGCTGGCTTCACGATTGCCCATAAGCTTTTATCTCTTCGTCATCACCACACGTTCTTATTGTCACCTTCAGACTCGTGCCCAACTCTGGTTTTGATAACTTCATCTGTGTTACCGCCTGTAGTTGAAAGTAGTCTGCTTGGGTAAATTTAGTGAGAAAGATGACTTCCTTCGAATTTCTTGCATTGATGGTGATTGGTGCGTATTCTTGTTGTTGGTCATCGTGTATTTTCATCACCAATGTCTTCCCTGTATTTATTTGATAAGTCCTCTCTTCGATGCCAGCATTTTCTGCCAACTTGTTCGTGGTTTTCGTCTGTATATCTTCAAGTTTGTGTGACGCGCTAAACATAAATCATCCACACGAAGTTCAGATCTTCTAGAGTCTTTTCATCGACCCAATATATTCCTGTCTTCTGTCTTCTCACGCATGGTCTACTACATGATTCAGTTCACTGCCACAATCAAAAATATCATCATCCGTGACAGCAGACAACCTTGTCATACTCTTGTCGTCATTTCAGTGGCTCAACTGATTTATACATTGTGAATCACTAGATATGTGGCACCATCGTATTGCTGTTGAGTGTTCATAAAGGTTTAGGAGACTCTGTAGTATTGAAGTGGTTTCCTAATTGTGGTGGACTTAATTATGCGGAAAACTGTGGGGAAAGAGAAGACAGGAATACATTAGACCTATTAGATGATCTGGATTTCGCGCAGATGATTAAAGTTTAATGTCACACAAACTCGAAGACCCACAGGCGAAAACCAACAAGTTGGGAAAAGAGACTGGCAGCGAAGACAGAACTTCAAGTAAACATAAAGAAAACGGATGTGACTAAGATAACCGACTAACCAAACAACAACAAGCACCAATCACTATCAGTGGAATGAATCTGAAAGAGATCACTTCTCTCACTTAGCTAGGAAGCTTCGTTTCAAATACAGCCAGAGGCACTAATGAGAATATCCAAGCCACTCAGGATCGAAAATCCAAGTCAGACCTTCATTAGTCTGCAATCTGTGTGGAAATCTGCTGAACTCAACATGTAGGACGAAATTCGGATTTTCAACACCAATGTTAAGTCAGTTCTTGAATATGAGTCAGGAACTTGATGCATCATGAGAAGCATCTCAAACCGGCTACTTCAGACTTTTATCAACAGGTGGCTTTGCTGGCTGCATATTGGAGATCAAATGGCTGGCCAGAAAGATTTAGCCAGAAGAGACTGTGGGGATGAACTAACCAAGAACCTGTTGGTCAACAAATATGTAGCATAAAATGGGGATGGATGGATTGGACACACGCTGAGGACAGCGTGGAGTGACATCTCACGCCAGGCCTTCTAGCAGGACCCGAATGGGAGATGACGAGTTGGTCGTGTGTGTGGTGGTGACAAGGAGGAGATTGTGTGAGAAGTCGACGAAAGCCTTGGGCAATGGTGGGGCCAGCTAAAGAGGATCACAGAGAACAGGATAAATTAGAGATGTCCTGTTAAAGCCCTATATCCCACTCGGAACACTAGGTGACAATAATAGTAATATATATGTTATAATTGAATTGTTTTTGCATATTTCTTCTTTCATTCTTATTTTTCAACGTATATTTATAGAAACGTGAACTACAAATGGAAGATAAAATATTCTATGATCGTTATGCACAACAATTTAATAGACGTTTTCCAACACGTCAAATTGAAAACTTTTGGGATAAGTTATTAGTTACCAAGCGTTTCGATGTTTAAATGGTCACGTCGCATCACACCACATCTCAGCATCAATTGAACTGGCTAGCTAACTAACCAACTGCCTAAATACCGGAAAAAATCTAACATTTGTACAGCTTTTTTGTATGTTGAAGGCCTTTATCATTACCTTCCCTTTTTTCAGTAGATCGATTTCAAATACATATAATTTTCGATTTCGCCTTCTGTTTTGAAAATATTTATTTGCTAATGCATACATATATTATCCAATTGTTACGAATACACACATACAACAGTAGATAAGTCCCAAACCCCACCCCGTCAACTTTATTGTTATAAACTGCGTGCACGTTAAGAGAACTGCTATTACCTAACTTAGGTGTAAGTCTCAATTATGATCCGAAGGCGGTGATCCCCAGTTCAACAGGGCTGCCTTGTAACTTGAAGGTCCTGGTGGTTGGTTCTATCCCTATCGGTGAAGTCATGGGTGTACAAAGCTCCTCAGCAAATGCAAACATTTTCCTTTTTGTTTCTTTGTCTGCTGACTTGACGGTGCGTCGTAGTCTATAATATTGTGCTTTGTTATTGGACTTTTTGGTGCCAATACTTCAGCTTTTTTCATGGTACCACTTAGGCAAATGCTCCATCATCATCAGATAAGACAGATGAGTTTCCGTACGATCTATAAAAAGTTTATAATCTAGGTCTCTGTGTATCATTCTCTGTCTCTTCTGCTTAATATAAGTTCACATTGTCTTCAGTTTTTATCCGACCATACGTCTATCTTATACTGAAGAATAAGACAAATTAAAGTGGAGAAACTTTTTTCCTCATTAAGGAAGTCATTTTCAAAAACTGTATATATACAAGTGTATTTATATTTACTTAATATGCATATATAGCAGTCAGTAATTTACCTAGACCTCTTTTGACTGTTAGTAAGCCCAGTAGATGAGGGAGAGTTAAGCGTTTGACTGGCACAACCTTCTTATCTCAAGCTTGAATCGCTATGATGATCCACCTGGAACACAAAGGATTGGGAGAAGATGGAATACATGGGCTGGCCATTGGATCGGGTCCTGGTGGCTTGATGGTCTACGAGCTAGCTCGCCTCGTAACCTGAAGGTCCTGGGTTCTAGCACTGGCGGTCGGTGCGTACTGATGAAGAGTCCCCAACTAGGCTGGCGAAACAGCTGTCCAGTACTCCCGCGTAGTCTTCCAAAGGTTCTCTAACTGATTGCAGTCCATGATGAAATCCTGTAACCAGTCAAATCTCTGCAAACCAACACTTGAATGGAAGAAAGTGATTGAGTAGTAGGAACGGGGAAAGCTAGTGACACAGTTGATAAAGTTACTCAGAAATCGTCTCTAGAGATTGGGGAAAATTGTTTAATATAATAGACGGCACACACACAAGAGTAAGTAAGTTTCCCACTTTCAATGGCTGTTGTCATACAGCCTCGTAGAGAGGAACAGAGAGAACTATCGCTGCGCAAATATTGTCAAAGATGTACTAAGCTGGCAAATGTGACACAAATACTTTGTATACGTGCTGAGATTTCATCAGCAATCGGTTAGTCTATTAGGGTGGATTTAGCTTCCGAAGTGATGTGATCAACATGTACTCAATCGTTTCATTTCCTATCATTTAAACGCTAGACATAAGAACTGATAGGGAAGAAGGAGAGCACAAACTATTGCTCGAAACGTCATCAGTTAATATTACTGTGTGACTTATCAAAATAAAATCTTATCTATAATGGAATTATACTCTACCACAGTGCTCAAGTTTTATACTTATATCAAGAAGGAGATCACAGTGATGTGATTTGATACCATATCTACGTATCCTGGTGATTTAGGTCAACAGTGTTGGAACTCTCTCGTCTGAAAAGAAACTTATAATCAGAACAGAACCTCCTAAAGTGAACCTAATTAAAAAGTTGCTGATTTATTGTTTTCCAAAATCTTAAGCTTTCTAAATTTGCCTACTCATAAGTAGGTTGAACAATATATAAAGCATTTTTTCTCACTTTTAGTGAAATAATGCTGCTACAAATTGACTACATTCATCATAGTTTTTCCAATTGTCGGGAGACATCACAATCCTCCCTTTGTTTCGTATGCGTCAGTAGACCAATTTTTGGATTTCCGTCAACCACCCATGTAGCTCTGGTTCGATTTCTGACCGCCTAGTTGACTACCCGTTAGGTAGTAAAACTTAAAAGGAGCAAAGGTTGGGACTTCAGAACAACACCATTGACGCATCTGAGAATTTCACCCGGTCGCATGTTCAAGTTCTACTCTGCTTACAAATGTCAGCCATGTGGTCATCATTGGACGACAATAGTATATATATATATATATATATATATATATATATATATATAGCTTATCCTGCTATATGAAAAAACTTCTCCTGCCAAATGATTTATAACGTACTTCAAACAATATTGTTTTTTCTATATTCCTTGCATTCCAAGTAGAACATTAAGCTTCAAAATTTTTGAACTTTCAGGGGTTCGCTGGCCTCATGTCTAACATTCCATCTCTTTCCTGGCTTACTACCTATCGCCTAGAAAAATAGGCAAGGTTAAGTAGTGCGTCCACCGGGAGTCGACCACTGCACTGGCTAGCTAATAGTTCTATTTCAATCAAATTTATCAACAGTATTCACAGACATTAAAGTGCACAGCACGTTTCCTTTTCGGGGAATAATTGTACCATTAGTTTTGTTTGAGTGGATTTTGATGTTTTGATTACGTTGTCCCTCAGAGCAGTTAGGTGTTGGTATAATTGCGAACCACCTTTCACTGTCCTCCATCCAGACAACATCACGCTACAGAGCGAACTTGAATGTATGTGAAGTCTGAACTTATTTCAATCCCTTCTCCATGAATGTGATATAATTGTTTATCTAGTGACAGCATTTTTTTGTCGTGGTGATTAGTTGTTCGATTCGTATTAGTATTGATCATTTCTATTGACGCTTTCCTCACGAACAAACACTTCAGTGCAGAGTCTTTTATCAGCAGTGAATTCATTCACTTAGCTTTGCAATCACAATTATGCATGATTATTATTTGTGTGTGTGTGTGTACACAGGACAAGAATAAATAAAAGTGTTTTAGAGTAGTGTTTACATCATCAAAATATTTCAAACGATGTGATGAATGATCAAAATTGTAACTAGGGCAATAGGGTGATCATTAGTAAGTGTATACTAGGGTAACATAATATGAAGACGTTCAGAAAAATTCGATGATAACGAAACAGAATGGAGACAAGTTTCTTCTGCGTGTACATAAATCATGGTTTTCCATATTCGAATGGCTAAGGTCTCGGCAATAGAAAGTAATAATAAAAGTGATAATTTGCTCTATTCCAAAACAGTACTTGTGATACAGAATGGAATTCTCAGCATTTTTTACTACAGTATTGCATCCAGTTAGTACATTATCAATAAATAGAATTCTACATAGATTAAGGAAATCTGAGTTCATTATGACAACAACATATTGGCATGTCGGTATCAAAGCCAAAGTTGAACAGTGTTTGAAGGTGTTAGAAAAGTAGGTGCTATCATATTTACTGGCGTAAGCGGAAGAAAGAAACAAAGCAGCACATAACAGAAAAAAAGAGAGAGAAAAGGAAAAGAAAGAAAGAAAACGTTGTACCTATAAATGATATAAGTTGGAAAGACTGACTATTTAATAAGTTATGGGTATCACGCTTAATGCTTTCTTTATCGCACAGAACACGAGCTAAGTAGGGTATGTTTGAGTTTTTGTACTTGCTAGTGTGAGCATAATTTTCTATATCGGCTTCTGGTTTTGCTTGATGAGATGCAAGGGGAGAGTTGTGAATGAAGAGGTTGGTGTGAGTTAGATAAAATGGATTTAGCTCATTTCTCACATGAGTCCATGTGCTTGTCAACCAGAATATTAACAAGCTGGTTAAGTGGCACGTTGCTTACCCTGCTGACAACCTTTAACATCCTGCGTAATATGTTATAGTCTTTCTTCAGTAGCCAGGGAAAAACTAAAGAGGAACAATAGAGAATAATAGGCAGAATGCGAGAGTTAACGAATTGTAGGAGTAAGGGTTGGGTTACACCAGAATGTCTTAACTTCTTGATGTAGAAGGTAAGACGGAATATTTTCTTAGGAAGCGCCAAGATATGAGACGACCAGGAAAGATCGGCAGATAGAATGACGCCTAGGTATTTAATTTCTGACTTGGTTTCTATTTCAGTGCCATCTATGTTGCACACCTCGTGAGAGCCAACCAGTTTGTTTAGGTCGAAATTGACTGTTTGGCATTTGGAGGGGTCTAAGGTAAGACCGTTTTCCTTGGACCACTGGCTGATTTCTGACAGAAAGCCATTTAGTTTAGAGCAGTCACTTTGACATTTGACAGGCAAAGATACAGTCAGGTCGTCAGCATATTTGACAAAATTATTGTCATCTGAAGATGGTAAGTCATGTAGAAAGAAAGAAAGAAAAGTGGGGAGAGTACAGCACCCTGGGGGACACCAGCTTCAGTGAGCATTACAGAGGAGGATTTACCTTTGTATACGGTATACTGCATTCTGTTAGAGAAGTAGGAATGCAACCAGTTAGTGACCCAGGACTCAGGAGAGACTCATGTGTCATAGAGAGCTTATTTAGCAAGAGACATCTAGGTACAGAGTCGAAAGCAGAAGTGAAATCGAGAAAGGTGCAGCGGAGGTATTTGGCATCTTTATCTAATGATGAGACGATACGGTTGTGTAAGACGGCTGCAGCGTCTAAAGTGCTCCTACCCTGTCTATGGGCAAATTGTTTGGGATCTTCAAAGCTTTTAAGTTCAAGTTTAAGAAGTACTAGTTTTTCCACAAGCTTTAGAAACGGGGAAGTGATGACAACGGGTCTGAACTTTACGTTCTTCCTAATGCCAGGTTTAGGGACAGGGACTATTTTAATGTCTTTCCATGCAACGTTGTATGAAGTATGTATGCAAAAGTATGCATGCTGTTTCAGAAGGCTTATTTTAACTTTGTAGATACAACTTTGAATAAATTCTGTCTGCATATTGAGTGGCCAGTGTTGATTTATAGCACTGTTTATTGACACTCTTCACTGAACTGTCTGTTCTTATTTCCATGTTTGGATGGGTGTTTTTTCTGTAATACGGCTTATTTTTTATCTTTTAAAAAATTTGATCTCTATCTGTT